CCACCCCGCAGCCCCCCCGGCTCCCCCCGACCTTGTTGACCACGTCGCCGAAGGTGAGGTTGGTGAGGGCCATCCCCGCGTAGCGCCGCAGCGCCAGGTTCAGGGGGTCGCTTGTCATCTTGTGCATCTCGTAGTCCACCTGCAGCAGCTCGGCCACCGCCTGCAGCCCGCCTGCGGGATGGGAGAGGGGGTGACTCAGGCAGGGGACCCCCCGGCTCCCCTTCCCCAGCGCTGCTGCTGTTGCACTGGGGAGGAGGGTGGGCAGGGATGGCTGCGGTGCAAAAGGGACGGAGCCCCCACCCCGCGCTCACCCAGCTCGTTCATGGCCCGCCGGTACTCCTCGTCGAAGGAGAGCTTCATGATGGCGCAGGTGGCCTGGCAGATCTGGGGCTCGATGGGCACCGGCGCTGTGGGGACAGGCAAGGGGTCAGCCCCAGGGTCTGGCACGGATGGTCCCCCCATTGCCTGCCGCCTCCGGCACACGCAGATGCTCACGGCCACGTGCATCACCATGCACGTGTGTACGCAGACACATGCGCCGGCACCCCGCTTGCCCCCGTACCCGTGCCGCCCTCGGTGCCTCTGCCCCCGTCCCTGCTCTGCATCTGCAGCCAGTCCCAGCAGGTCTCCGAGTAGGAGCGGATCTGCTCCAGCACGTGCAGCACCCGCATCTCCTTCTTGGCCTGGCCCTCATCGGGCTGGGAGAAGACGATGTTGTGGAGGGCGGCATTGGCACGCATGCGGGCATCCTTGGCGCCGGCGGGGCTCTCGGGGGGCCCTGGCTCGCCGTCCGAGTCGTGCAGGATCTGGATGAGCAGGGGCAGGCAGCCCGACTTGCGCATGGCCAGGCAGCTCTCCTGCGAGCTGGACATGGCCAGCAGCGTGCGGGACATGTCGTCCTTGTCCCGCGTCGCCAGCATGGACAGGAGCCAGAAGACCACCTCCACCTGCGGGAGAGGGACTCGGGGTTACACAGGGCCGCCCCCCCCCGTGCTCCCCACCCCAGCCAGGCTCCAGCACGGGTGCCCCTCACCTTGCTGCTGCCCAGGCTGCTGCCCCCCTCCTCGGGGTGGGTCGGGGGGTCCAGGCTGCAGTCCCCCTCCATGCCCGGCACCTTCCCACAGAGCTGCAGAGGAGGGGGCAGATGGGGACGGGTTGCAATGTGTCGACCTCGCCCCCCCGCCCGGCCCCTCCCCGCTTTTCAGGAACCCACTGGTGCCATTAATTTTGGCAGTGTTTCCCAGTCACTGCAACTGTTGCTTTCGTCAATGCCAGGGTTGTATTTTAAGCTGGAATCGGGGCTGATCGGGGAGGGGGGAGCTGCAGGCTCGGGAAAGGAAGAGC